TTTGGGACACTTAAGACCTTTAATGAATGCAATTTTGCCATTTTAATCGAGCACACAACGAAGGGATGAATCCTTTTTCATGGGGATTGATCCTTCACAGAAACTTTTGATCGATCCTTTGGCCAAGGGATCGATCCTTTTTGAAATGGGATTGATCATTTTTCTATAAAAGTGCAGAATTCTCAAGATCATGCATAAACGAATTACCAAACTTCCACATATTCGATCCTAGGGACTAGATACATGCTTGGACACTTTCATACCACTTCATACACGTCAGTATACACCTATATCATTCTTCATAACACAAGTCACAACATCGTACAAGAATTTGGCATCAAAAGTCAAACATTGCATATTTTTTCACTTTCATCACAAGTCACATAGTCCAATTTGCATTTTGGGTCATTTCATGCTTCCAATGAGCCTAACATACTTATTACACTGAGTGTCACTTGTTTAAACACACCAAACACTTCCTTAAGGCTTAAATAAACATTTAGCAAATTTTATGATCAATCCATTCAACAACATGCATTCAACATTATCAATTCAAAAAATCAAATCAATTTATCAATCTTCAACACAAATAATGGTCCACATATAAGCCACACTTATTACAACTCAACATGTCAATAAAAGTCTAGATCCCAAAATGATCCCTACATTGCCACACATGGATTCGAATCACATATGCTTATTTAGAAAATATCTGGCTTAATCACTCCGAGTGCCCACTCCTCGCCTCCGAATCGACTATTAATCTTCTGAAAAATATTAAACAACAAGTGTGAGCTGAAAAGCCTAATGAATAACCAACATTCTAAGTAATGCACAAACCAAAACTAAAGGAAAACCCTACATGCATTCACTCCTCACTTGTTCTTACCTCAAGATTCATATCACCATGTTATGCCTTTATGTCAACACATTACACCCTAAATTCTCATAAATTCCAAAATAGTCACATGCCATTTAGTCCCTATATCCAACAGTAACCACATACAATCATGCACAATTACCTCCTCGGCAAGTCACTCACAATGCACATATTTTAATTTAAAGATCATGGCCTTTTGCTCGAAACACAACTCACTCATTGGATAAATGGACTCCATACAACTCCCTTTTATTTTTGGACTCACTTAGGTCCAAAACTACATTTTTGGAGAAAAGCTCAACACACCAACCTTACCCCGTATTCTTCTCGGAATATAGCTCAATGCACCAACCTTACCCCGTATAACCCGATATCACACACGTATAAAACACATATAGTACTCTTTTCTAGGCATGCCTTTCGTATCCAAAGGTCCCATTAAGAATAAATAGCCAATTAATTCAAGTTCATGAAGAGTGGTTGACAATGATGCATAGTTTTCGCATATACACTTTCAAACTCATTTCGAAACACAATTAGAGATGGTTTTCATGATCAACCTCATAAGGACAGCGAGACACTCAACTCGTCCATGCAAACATTCACATATATAAACATTTTCAAACACACTTTTGAAATCTCTATGCATCATTCACAACACAATTTATGTAACACATCCACATCTCCGATCACATCTTATATCATATTTCATATCAATTAAATGAATTGTTATTGATGCATTTAAACCAGAGTTCAATTAAAGAGACACTACAAACTACACCTTTTTACCCTTGAACATATCCATTCACAAAGAATGAAAGCCACACACCTCGATGGCGAAACCGCACAATTCTACTCCAAACACTTCCTAACTCATTGTCGGATATTGGTATATTAATTTTACTTCATCAAACACTCCATAAAGACCTTAGAAAACATATTAATGAGTCATTAACACTTCCAAAATAGAGCAAAATATTATACTACCAAAACAAAACGAAAATACCAAAGCAATCGAGAACCTTACCGATCTTACAACCAAAGCTTCCTAAAACGTTAGCACCACTTTCCTTCACCTAAAGATAATCAAGAACAACTTAAATCAACTCCTAATCATCACTTAAATCGTCCAAAATATCATCAACCAAAGATGACTCCCGGATTTATGAAAAACAACAAAATTAAGATTGTTTCCAAGAAAACGATATCCAAATCATTTCTAATTAAAAATCTGTTTTATAGGTGATTATAATCACCTATAAAACAACATATTAACCTCAAGAAAAATTGAAAATATTTCAAGAAAAAATAGTTATAATAATACATTCGAAAATCACTTTAATGCACAAACCTCTCTTAAAACAATTGCTCGATTAAAAATCATCAATCACATTAATGGCTAATCGTTGAAGCACAAGAGAACCAAGAAGAAGAAAATTACCTTTGCTGTAAATGAGGAGGATGAACAACAATGGAGATTCCAAAGTGATCGAGGAAGAAATGGTAAGAGAAGAAAAAGAGAAGTTTAATCACAATTGAAGGAATAAATTAAGAAGAAAAGGAAACATGAATCAATAAAAGAGGACTTGAGGAAATTTTGGGAGAAAAGATACAATAGATTTTGGGTGAAAGAAAAAAAAATGAAAGAACGATTAATCACAAAACTAGAATGAAAATGAAGAAAGAATTAGGAAATGAATCTAGATGGAATTTTGGCTAAAGGAGAGATTAAGGTACAGTTAATTTGAGAGGGAAAATACTAAACATAAACCTTGATATAATAAGCTTCTAGATCTTTTGATTTGTGATCTTTACATTTTAGTTACTAAAATCACAATTTTCAATTTATACAATTTAGTCACTATGCAAAATTAATTATAAATTCCCAAAATAGAAATTAATAATCCTAAAATCATTTTAAATCATTTTAGAAATATTCATCACTTGAAAATACCGATATTAATATTTTTACCTAAAATTCATACATGACTACCGACCCAAAACTACCCTGGATTTTGGGACGTTATAGGCGAAGCGTCCTCTACGACCATTGTCCGTTTGATAGTTTATTTTTATGAAAAATCCAATTCTAGATATGATAGACTCGATTATGTTTTGTTTTTACCATGTGATTGGAAGTCCCGGGAGCTGAACCCACGCCATGATATTTCTCGAAAATGATTGGGATAGGTAAAAATCTATCGACCAGGCTCTGTTTTGAAAATCGGACCGGACCGATCGGTTCAACCGGTTCAACCAGGAATCGTTGCTTAGTCCGGTTCAATCTAAACCGGTTGAACCGCTATTAGTGAACCGGCCAGAACCGCTGAACCGTTCGAACCGGACCGGCTGAAAACTGGGAAAAACCGGGATTTTTGTTTTTTTTAAAAATAAATTAAACCAAACAACGTCGTTTGTTAAACGAGCCAAGTCGAACTCTAGTATTGCTGAGCTCGACTCGAACTTGAAAACTTTAAAAGTAAGCTCAACTCAACTCAAACTCACAAGCTAAAAATTATCAAGTTCAACTCAAACTCGAAATATAATATTGAAACTTGAACTCAAAAAGGCTTGAACTAAAAAAAAAAAATTAGAAGCTCGATTGAAGCCTAAAATTCGAGCTTGATTGAAGTGAAAGAATAGTTCACTCAATGCTCACCAAAAGGCTCCATGATTTTGAATGCCGAATTACCTCTATTATTTATAGAAGTTAGTTGTGATGCGCTTCTATGTTTCTTAGCAATGTGAGATTGTTTTGTTCTCATATTTTTACTCTTTAGACTTTTGGGATGCTCTTCTATGTTTCTTAGCCATGTGAGATTGTTTAAAAAAAATTAAACCAAACAATATAATTTTGTTATGATTTTTTAACCCCAAATTTATTTTTTAATTATAGTTATATAATTATATTTATTATTTAATATGTTTTACCTTAAATATTATATTATAGTTAATTTGAATCATTTTGTTTCACTTGATTTTATGGTTTTTAACTTATATATGTTATAACTTGCTTTGAATATGACTTGTGATATAAAAAATTATTTTTTATTAAATATTTTTGGTATTTTTATTTAATTTTTTAAATAATTATGACGTCGTCCGATTCTTTCGACCGGTTAGACCGATTCGACCAGTTGAACCAGTGAACCGATAGAATGACCGGTTTGTTAACCGGTCCAGTTCTGAAAACCATGCGACCAGGTTCAACCATTATGTAATGTCTGAAAATCATCCCAGGGCCATCAACAAGGACACCTTGAGGTAATCGGTGTTAGAGGAGAACTTCACAAGAAAGTAATCATATTCGATATCAATTAGCTTGATCTGGTGGGAGGGTTTCCATATGTTGTAGATTTAATTCTGGTGAGTGTTGTACCCATTCGTCGGCCAAGCACTTTAACGACAAGAGTGAGATCCTTGCTTTTGATGGCTAGATTCTGGACTCTTTCCGAGAAGTTGATGAAAGGCATACCATCCAGTTCACCCACTGAGACATCATCGTCAAAGAGGTCCATTCATGTTCTTCTAGGCTATCGAGATCGGGATGAGAAATGCCCTCGGTATTGCCCATGATCATATCCTTGTAGGAGGCGATCTGTCTTGGGGGACGGGGTGTTGTAATACATGGATGAAGAGGGAAGATATGACAAAGGGTTTAGGGGGTTGGGTGGCTAGACTTCGTGGTGTCGAGCTTTCTTTGGATCTAGGCTATCATCCATGGATCTGGCAAGAGGCGGGAAATCAAGGATGGAAGGGTTCTCAGGGATATTTAGATATTTTCATTATGCACAATAATAAGTAATTATTAATATATTTTTTTAATTTTTAAGTGAAAATAAGAAAAAAATTTACTTTTATTTTAATTGGACAAACGCCATGTCACAACAATGTTACTGACTTAGAGTGACCAAAACAAAAAACAATTTAAAAGTTAAAGTATTAAATTAATAAAACTGAATGCAGAATTAGGTAATTTACTCAAAATATTTAGAGGAAAAGTGAAATGTTCATTATTAAACTCATAATTAATTTATCTTTAGTGTTTGTTAAAAAACTTTTCTAAAATTGTTTTTTCTTCCTAAAAAAGAGCACGTTTTTAAGGAAAGGAATCATAAAAGAAAGAAAAAACTCATAAGGATCAAAGCAATTGTTGAGAAGGGCGCCCACACTCGTAAGAATCATAAATCTGATTTGTTTTCTTTCCATTGAAGAAGAAGAATGCAAGAAGGAAATCAAGTAGAAGAGAAAATGTCGAGAGAAAAATCCAGACGGGCAAATCTTCCTCCTGTTCAAGAGGTATTTTTTGTTCTTTTCACCACTAATTTCAATAATTGTTTTTTGAAATTATTTTGGTGAATGCCAAAGGAAACAACCCATCATTTGCTTGGTAGCTAAGAAACCTGAAAAACTTGATAATTTTGAATGATTTTAACATATTTATACCTGGTCTCGTAGCTTTGTTTGGTTGGTAAGAAAATGTTGGTGTTTGATATTAGTGGATACTTTCATTTAAGAGAAAGAATGTTTAAACCTTTTATTAATTTGATCCGTGGTTTTTTATATTTGGCATTTCTTTCATCTTAGATGTAGGAAATTTTATCTTTGATAAGGCACGTCTTTTTCTTATATAATTAAGACAAAACCATTAAAGAGTAGAGTGTTATATGTGTGTATAAGTATGAGTTGGAGCTTATTGTTATGGAGAAAAATTATTTCCTAATTTAATTTTTTTTCTTGTTATGAAATGCAGAATATTGATAAATTAGAAAAAGTTATAAAAGATGGTAATCACTATGGAGCTCAACAGATGTACAAGTCTATAAGTTACCGGTATGATTTCAATTTCCCAACTTTATGTTTATTTAGAGCTACTAGTTGCTGGAAATGGTTTATTAGTGCATGTTTCTAGGTCTTGAGAGTGCATGTCTGATAGTGTGTGTGCAATTTTTTTCTTCTAGGTCTAGATTTTAAGGGCGCATTAGAAATGCCTGCAATTTCCCAAATGTATGATTTTTTAGAGCCACAGAATGGTATATTAGTCTATATTGCATGGAATCAGAAGCACATGTCGGGTATAAATACATAATTGTTTCCTTTTCTTATATTGGGAGTGTTGAAAATCTATGCCAATGTCACAGTATATGTCGGACATGCCTACTTCATAAAATGAACATTTAGAGCAACATAAAGCTTGTGTATGGTTAGAGTCTTAGATGGGCCTTAACTGGGTAGAATTGCTTATACTTGAATTTTAAGGTACATAAACTTGAGTAGTTTAAGGATGCTTCTTGCATTATTATTTGGTTTTCGATTTTGATTTAGGGTTTCGTATTTATAGCTTTTCATTTCTTGTTATTCATTTCCTTTTTCAAAACTTGCAATTGATGTAAAGGTAAGAATAGTAAAAGGCCTGTTTGATCCTTTTTGTTGCTTTCAAAAGACTTTTGATTATGAAAAATGAATATCCTATTTCAGATATGTCTCTGCTGAGCGATATTCTGAGGCCTTGGATCTGCTTCATTCAGGTGCATGCCTCCAATTGAAGCATGGGGAGGTATTTATTTTCTTTCATTACATTTATCTGGCACTTACTAGTCAAGGTTTTATTCTTTGTTAAATGCAAAGTATCATGAAACTTGATCGTTCACGTTTTACATTTGGCTTTCAAATGAGTTGAAGATGATTGGATGTTAAGCTAATTTTATTTCCTATGGGGTAATCATCAGCTTAGAGTCCGAGTTATTTCAGATAGAAACAAATATAAGATGACAAATTCTGTAATTGCAAGCACTTCATGATTAATACCCTTTACATGCATGGTTGACCTTCCTATTAGTCAAATATAACTTTGGATGTAAGAATGATGACCATGTCTAGGATTATATTATTAGCTATTTACCAGAACACGATATTCTATGATCAAAAGGCAGGCTAAACATTTTCATTTTGGTATATTGATTGGATTTTATTTGATATTTACTTAAGTGAGATTGGGATGAGGGAATTTGTTTTGCCGGTATTCTGCATAGCTATCCTTGCGTTTTCATGGTCCATGACTTCGTAATCACGAAACAGAACTTTTCAGGTTACTTGTGGGTCCGAACTTGCGGTCATGTTTGTCGATGCCCTTGTCAAAGGGAAAATTCCTTGTGAGGAAGAGATCCTGGGTCAGTACATGCCTTCTCTTGTAATGTGATTCTCAGCATAGGTTGTAATCCATGTTACTTGGATGCATCTGAAACTTGAAGGTTTAATTATTTTCAAGTTTTTCCACATATTTGGAGGTTCATATCTCCATATTCATGTCCAGATATGCGTTTAACAAGGGTGTCAGACATGGATACTTGATAAAGAGTCCGAGTTACATTGGTTGTAATGAATACTCCATGGACCCTCTTCTCTTATCCAATGACTTAAATATCTTTTATGTGATAAAAAGAAAAAAAAGAACTTCCAAGTCAATCATATTATTTTATATATAGCTATCGGGTTCATTTAATTATGCTATCTCTATTGTGATTATTATGTAATGCATGTGGCAGACCGTATTCGGAAAATCTACAAGCTGTTTCCACAGATTCCTGTGGCTAGTAACTTAGCAGTTGATGATGATGTTCAACAACTTACTGAAGCTATCGGGGAGGCAAAAGCACGTCTCCAGGGCTGCTCATCATTCTTAAAAGCTGCTATAAAGTGAGACATCATTTCCATATTATATTGTTATCTTGAAAGCTATTTTGTGTTTCAACATCATAGATGATGTTAAGGTTATTTTCTCTTCATTTCTTGATGGTTAAACTATTCAAGGGATCTGCTAATTGTGTGGTTTGATCTGTCATTTTATTTTTTGTTATGATTTTCATTTTATGCATTCACTAGACAATGCCTCAAAATTTACGAGAAGGATGTTTGATTGCTCTTATACCCGTCTAGCCATGTTTGATGTGAACTTGTTGAAAACAGAGCTAATGTAAAGTGAAGTGAAAGGAATTAGTTGGTGAAGTAAATTAAACGAAAACGTTAAAGGAAAAGTGAAAATCTTCACTATCGTATATTCATATAAAACAGGTTACAAGTTTAACAAATATATACAATAGGTGAGAACAAGTATTTAATTTAAACTAAACTACCCATGTAGTTATCTTTATCTACTTAAACCGCTAAGAGTTATTTATCCACTAAACTACTAATATATACAAGATAAACCTTATCTATTTATCTATAACTTCCACTCCCCCTCAAGCTGGGGAGTAAATATTAAAAAGACCCAGCTTAGATGTGATCTCATCAAAGTTAATTCTTGGAATTGCTTCGGTGAGAATATCTGCCAATTGGTTTTTAGTTAAGCCTTACTAATCCACCATTCACCTTCTCAGAGATAAAATATCTATCGATCTCTACATGCTTCGTTCGATCACGATGAACTGGATTTTTCGCAATGCTTATGATAGACTTGATGTCACTTTGAAGTTCAAAATATTGGTTGTCACACAGCCCAAGCTTAGTTAACAGCCTTTGTAACCAGATTCCTTCACAAATTCCAAGTGTCATCGCCCGAAACCTCTACTTATGCACAACTTCGAGAAATCAAAACCTGTTTTTTACTCCTTCAAGTTACCAGATTTCCCAAACAAATGAACAATAACTTGTAGTAGACCTTCTATCAATCAATTCTCCCGCCCAACTTGAATCTGAATAAATTCTCACTGTTTTATCCTCATTTTTCCTGAAAATTAACCCATGTCCTGCTGTCATTTTAAAGTATCTTAGGATTCAGTTCACAACCTCTAAATGTTCTTCTCTCGGGTCATTCATGTATTGACTTACTATGCTGACAGAAAAACCTATATCAGGTCTAGTAAGCGACAAATAGATTAACTTACCTACTAGCCTTTGTTTTGTTCTTTGTTCACAAGACTTCCCATTTTCCCTTCTTAGTTTTAGATTTGCTTCCATGTGAGTTTCTGTTGGCTTGCATCCTTCCATTCTTGTTTTAGATAGTAGATCTAGGATGTAATTCATTTGATTAATGACTATCCCTTCTTTTGATCTTGCAACTTCGATACCCAAGAATTATCGCAAAGTACCTAAGTCTTTAGTCTCAAACTCCCTCGCCAATAGATTCTTCAATCTTCCTATCTCCATAGAATCATCACCTGTTATGATGATATCATCCACATAGACAATTAATTTTTTTTCTTCTTTTTTGATGCCTTTTTTACAAATAGAGTGTGGTCTGATTAACACTGTTTGTAACCTTCCTGAATGATCACCCTTGTGAACCTGTCAAACCAAGCCCTCGGAGACTGCTTAAGACCATACAAGGACTTTAGCAATCTGCATACCTGTCGGTTTCCTATACCACTTCTCACGCTAGGTAGAATTTGCATATAAACATCCTCCTCTAAATTACCGTTTAGGAAAGCATTTTTAATGTCTAGTTTATGGAACACCCAATCTTGATTGACTGCCAATGATAGTAACACTTTCACAGTGTTTAGCTTTGCCAGAGGAGCAAAGGTTTCTTGGTTGGATTGAGTGAATCCTTTTGCCACCAATCTCGCCTTGTATCTTTCAATACTACCATCTGCTTTGTACTTCATAATAATTATCCATTTACAGCCGACCGGTTTCTTGTCTTTAGGGAGATCAACTATAACCCAAGTGTTGTTGTTTTTCCGTGCCATCAATTCCTCTTATATTGCTTTTTTCCACTTAGGATCCTTTAATGTTTCTTTCACTGTTCCTCAAACAATAACACTGTCTATATTGGCTGTAAAATTCTTAAAAGAAGGTATTAGCTTCCCATATGCAATAAATTTATTAATTGGATGATTTGTGCATCTCCTTACTCCTTTCCTCTGAGTAATTGGCAAATCACTATCATCAACCAAGGCATTTATTTCAGTGGGAAAAACTTTATTAACTTCTTCATTTTTCGAGGGATTTAGACTCAGTTCCAACTCTGGGTAGTGTTCATGTTGTGTGGGAGGTCTTCTTTTATAAACAAGTAATTTGTTTTTTTTTGGATGGAGGAACCTTTGGTGAATTTGGCGTTGTTGGCTAGTTTGGTAAATTTTCTGGTTCTGCTTGGTCCGACTCTGGTGGCTGGTTTGGTGTGTCTGGTTCAGCTAGCTGGTTTAGTGGGTTCGGTTTTGCTGGATGGTTAAATGTGAATGGCTACTGGTCAAATGACAATGGCTGTAAAGTAGACTCAAAAAATTGAAATTCATTAGATAAGGACTCCCCTTGAATTTCAGATTTAAGGAAAAAAGGTTTCTTTTCATGGAAAGTAACATCTATCGTAACAAAAAAAAATTTAGTACCCATACAATAACAATGGAATCCTTTTTGAGTTGCCCAACAAACACACACCGAATCGCTCTAGGATCCAACTTAGACATGGTTTTATCATGGTTATGAACAAACACAGTGCAACCAAAGACTCAAAGAGGTAAAGAAGAAACCATGACTTTAAAATTGAGAAAATGTTTAAGAAAAATATATCGTAGACACTAAAACCGTAAAGGTTTACTGGGCATTCGATTAATATTATATGTAGCAATTAAAAGGGCCTCCCAAAAATACATAAGAACATGTGTAGAAAAAAAGGGCCCTAATAACCTCAAGTAGATGTCTATTTTTCATTCAATTATCCCATTTTGTTGAGGGAAATTGACACATGAAGTAAGATGAACAATTTCTTTTTCTTGAAAGAAAGAACCCAGGATGTTGGTAAAATACTCAATGTCATTGTCGGAATGAAATGTCTAAATAGAACTTTGAAATTGGGTGTCAACCATTTTATGGGTTTGTTTAAAGATATCAACAACTTCAGATTTAATTAATTTTCATGAGAAAAGAACATGTAGTGCGAGTGTAATCATCAATGAATGAAATAAACCCCCGAAACCCATGTAAAGTTGCTACTCTAGACGGACCACAAATATCACTATGAATCATGGCAAATGATTTGGACGATTTATATGGAGAAAGGTGATAAATACTCTTGATTTGTTTAGCAAGATGGCAAATATCACAAGAGAAATTTTTTGAACTTTTATTTACAAACAACTATGGGAACAATTTTACAAGATAAACGAAACTAAGGTGACCTAAGAGTAAATGCAATAACATAATATATGTGGAAGGCTCAAGTAAGAAAGAGGATATAGGAGCAAATTGTGATAAGGAACCAATATAAGCTTGAGGCTGAAAGGAGAGGTTAACTGCAAGTATGTAAAAACCCCCACAAAGCTTATAACTGCCAATCACCTTCCCCGAGCATGAATCCTGAAATTCACAACAATCAGAGTCAAATTGGGCAGTGAATAGGGAATTAAATAGCGTTTGCGGCTGTGTTTTCGGTCGCATCGCGTTTATCGCGATTGCAAACATAACGAATGCTATTACGGTCATTGCGAGTGTTGCGGTTGTGAGTTATTTTAAATTTCTCACAACTTACCCTAAAACATAATAATTATAATTATAATTATAAGGAATCATTTTTAATAACTTTTTGAATGTTTTCTAAGTGAAAATAACATATATATATATATATATATAATATAGTTTAACCAAATAGAAGACTTTAAAAATCCGGTAATAGGATAAAATAATTATTTAAATGATAACATTGTGAATACATTATTATTTAAATGACCAAAATTAGGACTAAATTAAGTAAAATAAAAATTTATATTCTAAACTAAGAATTAAATTATAAATTCTAAAAAGTAGTAGGGATGACAAATTAATTTATTCCTTAAAAAATGGGAAATAGGATTGTGAGTGGATTATGTTTTAAACCCAATAAACACTAAAATATTTTAATCCTAAGTCCCCCCAACAACCCCACCCTATTGTTTTCTCCTTTCTCCATGTTTCTTCATGCTTTCTTCACCAATAGATAAAAAAACTCAAAAACCATGATCTGTTAAGCCTAAAAGTGAGACTCAAGTTAAACAAAAGCTTTCCTTCTCCGATTCTAGTGATTTCCACTCCAGCAAGACCCACAAAACATGTAGTGTTGCATTCTTCCTTTTTTACTTTTCCATTATCTTTTTCTTTTTGAATCTCAACATGCATGTATCAAAAACAGAGATTCGAAAAGAAAGGGGAAAAAAACGAGGCTTGACGACGATGAATACAAAAAAAATCTTTCATAAGTTTTTTTTTTGAAGAAACGGTGGAATAACACTAATCTCCTATCTTTCTTTTTTCTTTTTCTTTTTTCGAATCATCCTGTTTTTTTGTTGTGTTCGAAACCCCCTTCTCTCTCTTTTTCTCTTTTGAACCTGTTTTGATGGATTGATTTGGTGTAACGGAAAATAACGGGAATAGTGGGCCGTTATCGTCGCGATCGGCCGTTACCCGTTAAGTTGCGGCTGTTATCGGCCACTATTAGTGTGATTCCGCGTTCACACTCCTATTTCGGACAATATCGGTCTCGGACGGTGGTGCGACCACGAAATAAAGGCGTTATAGCATTAGCGGTCCGTTATTTAAAACCCTGGTAGTGAGTGTAAATCAACACACAATTTACTAACGGAAAGAAGATTGCAAGCGAGATTAGAAATATAGAGAACATATTCTAAAAGAATATTTGGATTTATCTATAACTTACAGAACTATTGGACAATACTCTACCTTTCCCCTTGTCCTATTATTTTTGTGGTTAATATAGATGAATCATGTACTCTCCAGTTTGCAATAAAAAGATATTGCAACCTTGCAATATCTTTGAAGGCATGAGATTAGGCCGTTTGTATTATAAGCTTACACCATTAAAATAATATGGAATGTGAAGATATGAAAATAGAAGAAAGAATAAAAGAGTTTTTATTTTCTTTTTTATTAGTATTAAATGCTACTTATATTACTTGGACTCGGTTGTGCGTGTTGAATAAATATAGTATATTATATTTTTTTTTTCAAGATTTCCTTGTATGTGGAGGATTCATGGAGGATAATATACGTATTTGGATGTGCAAGACACAAACCTTTAGGTGCATTTGGTTCACGGAATGTAAGATTATCAGTGGGAATGTAAGATTACCAGGGAATAGGATTACTGGGAATGTTGTATTTTGTGTTTGGTTGGTTTAGCAAGAATGTAAGATTACCGTGTTTGGTTAAAGGATAAATTTGTAATTTAACCGTCGTTGAATTTTTATTATTCAATGACAGAAGAATGATATTTTTGAAAGAAAAAAAATTTAAGGGCATTTTAGTCCAAAATACCGGTAATCCAACAATACCTAAAGAAAGGGAGGTAATGACATTCCCGATAATATACCCCAAAAAATCTACTATTGGTAATAAAACATTATCGGGAATGAGATTTCCGGCCAACCAAACATGGGAATGTGGATTTCATTCCTATGGGAATCCCAGATTCCTTGATCCAAACACCCCCTAATGACATGTAGAATACTACTGCTTATTTTCCTAACCTGTTTTGTTATTCTGGGTTTTAGGTGGTCTGCAGAGTTTGGTGATCAAAAGAATGGTGATCCGCAACTGCACACTATGTTGGCCGAATACATATATTCTGAATCTCCTGAAGTGGTAGGTTTGGAACTAAATATTTAGGCTTTGCTTTTTCTATTCGATCACACATTCATTCTTTCCCAATCTTTGCATTGCTACGAATTGGTACTGAGAATTGTTTTGTCTCCTAATGTAGAAGGCAAAGAAAAATTTAAATAAAATCTTTGTATGTTGATGGCTTACGCAGTATTTTATAGTGACTGGGTTCCTTGACGTCTCCCTCAAGTAATCTTATTGGAATCAATAACTTGTCTTGGTAAATGGTCTCCAATATGTGGGAGGTCCTTGTTTGTGCCAGGAGAGGCACTCAAAAAGGAAAATACCTTTGATGTAAGCGGACGTGGTTGCAATGGCCAAATCCCAATACTTAGAGTAACTCAAGGGAGATTTCTAAACCCTTAGTTACAGATATGAATTCTACACCATTGACCATCTTAATTTCATCTAGAAATTGCACTAGGATCTCTGTATTGGGGTTGTTGCATGTATGCTTCCATCTATCTACTATAAAAGCCTCTGAAAGTATCCAAATATTGAGCTCCCAGGTCCCTTCGTTAGTTAACATTCATATGAACAGTCTTGTGACGTTGTTTTGTAGGACATGGCGAAAGTGTCGTATCATTTTGTTCGAGGAAACAATATAAAGAAATTTGCAGCTACTTTAGTAAATTTTATGAGCAAGGTTATTTTTCTTCTCTTTCTTGATCCTTGTCATGAAATAGTTCCAGCCTTCCATGTTATGTTTCTTTGACTCTTCAATTTTCTGAAATAACGGCTTACGAGACCCATAAAATATGCATATCTGGACATGTACTTGGGAATATGATCCCTAAACCTCTCAAAATACATAGAAAAACTCAGAAATTTAGCATACCCATGTCGGTACCTGTATCCGAAACTGTGATCTGTGTCCAGGTAACATAAGTTCGAGGCTTACAAATCAAAGTCGTATTCCCTTGTGTACCTATACAATATGTGAAAGTTTAATAATATAGATGTGCAGTAGTTCATATTTGGAAATACCTCATCGAAAATGTTTGTACATTTCAGATTTTGTTGCTTGTGTTGCTGATTCTGCCAGGGAAAATATACTTCTTGCTTATGTAGGTAGCACATTCATAGCTTTTGAGGTACCCATGTCGGACAATCATATTCGACATGTCCGAACAAGGATATTGGGATATGATCCTCAAAATCCTCGAAATATATGGAAGAACATGGAAAAAAATGGAACATATCCATGCCATACACATTCTCATATCTAATACACAGTGAGTAATATTAGTTTAAGCTTCAAAGTGTTAAAATAATTTGAAACATTGGTCGAGAAACTATAGTTATATTTAGGAATCAGAATATGATCTTTCAAAAATTGCAAGGAAAATTAGCATAACTCAAATTACTCGGATTCTAGCTCCATCTCAATGATCAACTGTATTTATTACTTTTGTCCAAGACTTCTTTTTGAAGAATCATCCAATACTTATTTAATTTGTTAACCTATATGGTTTTCAACTGTGCAGTGTTATCCCGGTGAAGATGATATAGCCATTGCAGAAGCCATTCTTATGTGAGCTCACCATAAAACTTCTCACTTGATCTTTTAGTATATTTTTTATTCAAGTTAGGCTCAGCAAAACCATGATCGAAATGTGCTATCATTTTGTCTATCAAATCTGTTGAAATTTTGTACTTGACTCTTATAAATTTCCATCAATTATAGGGATTTTAATTTGTCCTCAACTTCACATTGTTCGAAACTCGGAAGTAAAATTGAAACTGTTTATTTTTTTGTCATAAATTGTGTACTAATGAAGAAAAGTTTACTTTTGCATGGTAGGTATTTATCTTTGGGTAACCTTAAAGATGCTAATTCCCTTATGGATGAATTGAGGAAACAAGTGCAAACCCAGGAGATGGATTTTCCTATATCAGATTTGATTCAGTTTATCAATTTACTTTTGCTAACGTAAGTTGCTTTTTTCGTCATTGATTCTTTCTCCTTCATTACAGAACAGTTCTACCATCTATAATGCATATATGCATAGATTCTATGCTTTTGAATATTGTGAATCAATAATATTGTTGAAATGGGTATTCACTACAATTTACCCCAAGGGTGATATTAATCTATGTTGCCTAGACACAAGAGTGAGTTTCTGGTACGAGTATATGTTCAACATGGGCATGCTCAAATTTTGAAAAAAAAATTCTTTTATCTGAAGATTTACCCTCGTTCTCGTGTAAATGTGTAGAGCATGAATAGTGGACACGAGTAAATTAAAGAAAATAAAGAGTCGAGTAGCATAGATATTAATGCATGAATGTGAAATTTATGTAACTCCACTCTTTTTTCTTTTTGAATATCCATGTCTGACAGACACTCATGTCCGACTCATGGATATGGATATGTGTAGAATGTATCCGTATAAGTCTTAAAGACTGAAATTAGTATTTTACAACTCATTAAACTTGTATTCTATGTCTATATCTAAGTAGAAGATTTGATAGACTTTTGTCTAAGTAGGTTAGGACTAAGATTGTATTTACAGTAGGAAATTGCTGTTGTTTTAAAGAAAAACTCTTTCATCTTTTTGTTTAGTTATCTACATGGTAATTGGTATCAATCTAGGTTCCTTGAAAACCTAATCAAAGATTAATCAAACAACTTCCTCATAAAAAATCATTTCAAAATCTAAACAAAATATGCCTCACTCATCCCTATAACGTGCAACAAACTAAATGGCCACAATTACCTTCCTTGGTCACTATCAGTTTTACCATACATCTCAAGCTGAGGCAAGGATGACCATCTATCAATAAAGATGACTATTCCAGAGCCTACAGACCAAAAATGTCGCCTGTGGAGAAGTGAAAACATGATCATGTCTTGATTGATAAACTCAATGATACTGAAAATAGGAGAAAACTTTCTACTTTACATGACAGCAAGAGAGATTTGGAAGTAGTTAGGAAACATATTTCAATTCAGATAACATCCTAGAACTCTTGAAAGCAAACTCTATGAGTACAAATCAGTGCTGAACACTATGACAAGGTATTGATAGCAAATTGATTTATTTGATACTAATTCTTGGAAGTGCACTCATGATGTAGTGTTATGCATGAAGATCACCGCCCAAACAAGGATTTTTCAATTCCTTTTTGGTTTCAACAAAGAACTTAAGGGAAAAAATATTGGGTAGTAAACCCTTGCCCACGATCCTAGAACTGTTTGTAGCAGTTCATCGAGAAGAAAGCAAAAGATTAATGTTGATAGAACCAGATGGATCAACAATGACAAATGTCTTTGCCTTGTACACACATGCATCATTTTAGGGTCCAAATAAAGGAAGGGCGGACCATGGTGTGATCATTGTCAAAAATCAGGTCATGTGAGAGAGTAGTGCTGCAAAATTGCATTGTTAAACTGACTGACTGGAAACCAAATAGGGCAAGGCAAAACAAGGGACAATCAAGCAAATCTGGCTGATGTTACCACCGAGAGAAATGATATAAAACTCTTCAATAAAACTCTTTTTATTTAGTTGTCTACCGAATGTGACCTTTAAAGATCTTTTGAATACATAAAAAAATTAGAAAAAATCTGCATTTAGCCATGTTAGACACATTCCCATATCTGATAGTAACACTCAAATCCAAATAACACTGTGCAACAATTTGGAGAAAGTTTCAGGAGGGTTTATGGGAAGGGGATGGGGATTAAGCTGGCAAGTTTATTTCCTTTAGTCATATACTAGTAATGTAAGCTGTAATTGATTGTAATTTGAAAATTAATTTAGATTAGGATAAACTCTATGCTAAATTTAAATAAACTCGGTTAGTTTAAACTTCGGTTAAACAACTCTTAATTTAAACTTAGGATAGAGCTTATTCTACTCTAAACTAACCACTCTTATTTAAACTTAAGATAGAGTTTATACTAATCTAAACTAATTTTCAAATTAAAATCAGTTACAACTTACAAGTAATACTTTTCAAGGTTTATGTGCTAATTGTGTTTCCTTGGTATTAAATAAAATTATCAGTAACAAAGTATAATTGGACATGATCTGATCTCAAAACTATATTGTAAATGTTTTTTGTTTTGAATAGGGGAGCTATAAAAACATAGAATTGCAACAGTGACTGTTACTTGCAAATGATTTACTTTCAGTTAAAATCATGGCTGGTTTTTGATAGAGATGAGACAGTGGATGAATGGATGTTGTTCTTGTTGAAGAATCAAACCTAGAAAGTTCTAGACTCTGTCAAAGAACGAGAGGAGAAGAATGGATGGTGTCAATAGTAATTAGGGTTCAAGAGAGATTATGGTTGTTGGAAAATTAGACAAAAGAAGTAAGATTAAGAAAATAAAGATAATGAAATAAAACAAAGACAACGAATTTAATAAGATAGGAATAACTTAGCCAAAATTAGGTGATGGATGATAATGGTGATTTGACGATGAAGATGATGGTCGTGACGATAATCGATGGATAATTGTCCTACGAATCCTCCTAATCACAATAGACTAGGAAAACTCGATAATCGACTCTAACCAGCCCCCTAATCGCAATAAAGAGACAACTCGGAGTGTGAAGATCTCTCTCACAAAGAACTTGAGAAAAAACTTAATGAAAAAAAGCTTCGAAGGCACAAGTAATCAACACTTGCAAAGAAAAACGCTCAATGTATTGTATTCAAGAAAAGATGTGTTTATAATAGTGGGAGGAGCATCCTTTATATAGGGTGAAGGAGTCCTTGTTGTAGTATGACTAATGCTTGAAAATAATAATAAAAATAACAATAAAATACTAACCTAATTCCTAGTAACAATAAACTAAAGATAATTGTTTTAACTCTATCTTAATTTCTAATAAAAAAATAAATATAATCATAAAAGATAATGCATCATCATTTATTAAATTACATTACGAATAATCAATAAAAATTTGTAATATTTACAAAATCTTGTATTAATCCTATATAGGAATTTCTGCATGCACCTTCTTCACTAAAATGAGCGTATCTTGAGTTTCCGATATCGTATTGATGCGATTCAAGAACCATTGAAAAGATAAGAAAAAATCGGTCGTAACTCCAGAAGACATGTTGATGAAATAACATTTTGATCGTATTCAAAAAGCAATCGCAAATCTACTGCTATTTTTTTCTTCTTTTTCAAGACTTGGTCTTGTGGATCAATTGAAAGAGCTAGTCCATCTTTCTTTGGTGTGAGCCTTGTGATGCATGTATCAATTTTTGTAAAAAATAGGTTTACTGGTGAAGATCAATTTTATTCACCATGATTCTCTATATTAAATAGGTATAGTTGAGTTTTATACAAGTTATGTAAAAGAGTCCTAGCTAAGTTAACTTTATCCTTATCTATAAAATAGGCTAGAGTTAGTGACAAACTAAAACACCAATATTTACAGGATAATTATCTAGAGAAGTTATAACATACACTCCCCCTCAAGCTGGGTAGTAAACATTATAAAGACCCAACTTGGATGTGATCTCGTCGAAAGTAGCCTTGGAAGTGTCTTGGCCAGGATGTCTCCTAGCTGATTTTTGGAAGAGACATAATTTAGTTTTATTGTTCCGCCATTTACCTTCTCAGAAATAAAATGTTTTTCAATTGCCACATGTTTCGTTTTGTCGTGATGAACTAGATTTTTAGCGATGCTTATGTTGAGTTGATGTCACTTTGAAGTTCAAAATAATTACTATCACACCAACTCAGTTAAAAGCCTTTGTAACCAAATACATTCACAGATCTCGAGTGACATCGCCCAAAACTCTGTTTCAGCGCTACTTCTAGAAACTACGACTTGTTTCTTGATCCTCCAAGTCACCAAGTTTCCCCAAACAAATGAACAATATCAATTATTCGACCTCTTGTCCGTCAACACTCTAGTCCAACCAGAATATGAAAAAAAATCTTTACTGCCTACTTCATGTTTTCTGAAAATTAATTCGTGTCCCGGTGTCAGTTTTAAATATATCAAGATTCAATCCACAACTTCCAAATGTTCTTTTGTAGGGTTATTCATGTATTGGCTCACAATGCTGATAAAAAAAGCTACCATAAATGAGCTTACCTACAAACCTTTGATATTGCTCTTTATTTACGTGATTACCTTATGTAATTTCAAATTTGCTTCAATGGGAGTTTTTGAAGGTTTACAACCAGTCATTTCAGTCTCAGAAAGCAAGTCTAGAATATACTTCATTTGGTTGATAATAATTCCCTCTATTGGTCTTGCCATTTCCATGACCAAAAAATTTTGCAAGGTCCCCAAATCCTTGGTTTCAAACTCTCTCGCCAAAAATTTCTTCAATCTCTCTATCTCCACTGAGTCACTTGTGATGATGATATCGTCAACGTAGACAATTCAGATTATCTTTTTCTTGTTTGACGCAATCTGTATAAATAGTGTGATCAAATTGGCACTTCTTGTAGTCGTCTCACAAAAGTACCTTAGTGAACATGTGAAACAAAGTCCTAAGAAACTATTTAGTCCATATAGAGACTTCAACAATTTGTACACTTGTTGGTTTCCTGAATTTATTTGTACTCTTGGTGGAACTCACATGTAGACCTCCTCTTCGACATTACCATTCAGGAATGTATTCATTGATATCTAACTGATAAAGCACCCAGTCCTTATTCACTACTAAGTATGGTAACACTCTTACTGTGTTGAGTTTCACAATTGGAGTAAATTCTCTTGATAGTCCACTCCATAAGTCGAAGTGAACCCCTTTTCCATAAGTCTAGCCTTATACCGTTTAACAATACCATCCGCCTTGTACTTCACAGTAACGACTAATTTGCAACCAACTGGTTTCTTGTCTTTAGGAAGATCGACAAGAATTCAAGTTTTGTTGCTTTCGAGTGTCGAAAGTTCTTCTACTATCTTCTTCCACTATGTCTGGAATGCAAATGTTGTCTACTTTAGC